GGCAGCTGGAAGTCATCCACGATGAGGCTATTTAACCCATGGAGATGAGAAAGTTACTACACTCAGGGTTTGTTCCCCTCCCCCTCCCTCTCTCTCTGGCAAAGGCCCAAACCACAATCACCTGCATCAAGTGGCTACATGTTGTTGATGGTTAACCTGCCAGGGGAGTGTGGGGACTCCAGCTCAAGAGAGCACAGGCAAAGGGCAGGAGTGACCCACTGAGAACATACAGGACAGCCGAGGTGATTAGTACTGGACAGACTGTGAAGGACCATGAGGGAAAACCACAGACAGCCCAACACCCATAAATTCAAACATTCAGGTAAAACAGACCAGTTCCTAAAAAAACGCAAACTATCTGAATTGCCCTATTCTATTCAATAAATTGAATTTGTAGTTAAAAACGTTTCCACAAAGAAAATTCCAAGTGCAGGTAGCTTCATTAATGACCACTACCAAACATTTAAGGAAGAACTAACACTGATTCTACAGACTTATTTTTTTTAATCTCAAGAGGAGGGACAACTGCCAACTCACTTTGACACTAGCAGTACCCAGACCAAGAAAATACAAGAAAACTACAAACTAAAAGCCCTCACAAACCAGGCGTAAAAATCCTAAACAGTATTTGTAAATTGAAACCATTAACACATAAAAAGGAATATATGTCACGCCCAAGAATCTATCCCAGGAATGCATTTGAAAAAATAAATCAGCCCACGGATGGCGGATGGCGACTGGACTTGGAGCTAAGCTAACCACGCCCTCCACAACTAAGACTGAAGGACAACTTGGCTGTTCCCCTTCCTTAATTGCCCAATAAAATCTTAAAAAAAAAACAAAAAATCAGCAAGCCCGCAAGATGGTGCTGGTTGGAGCCAGCCACCTGAGGCTGGCGGTGTCGGCTCTGTTGCTCTGGAGCCCACGCCTTCCGGCCCAGGAGCTGTCAGCTCAGGCCCTCTTTTATTGCCTTAACCCAGTTTATGTATATTTTTAATTGTATGGCCTCAAACAGAAATCAGCAACAAACTCTCAAGTTTCGATAATCCATGAAGTGCACAAAAATCTATTTTATCCGAATCTATTTTGGGGAAGATTACCAATAGAATGCCTTCGTATGATTCTTTGATGGAACCAAGTATTGTACATAAAACACATCTGCAGATATACAATAAATAAAAGAATGGAAGACAAAAAATAATCATAAATAAATCAACATAATTCACTATATTAACCAACAAGATAAACCTTATGATAATGTTGATACAGAAAGGGAATTGGACAAAATCCAACACCCTTTCATGATTAAAAAAACCACTCAAAAAAGAAGGAATAGAAAAGACTTTTCTCAGCCTGATAAAATGACCTAACAGCTAACACCACTCTAGGGGCAAGAGGCCGGATGCTTCCCCAGTACGATCAGGAACAAGGCAAGGACGTCCACACTCCCTACTGCTACTCAGCATTGAACCCTGGCTACCCAGGGTTCTAGCCAGAACAGTAAAGCAAGAGAAAGAAATAAAAGGTATCTGGAGTAGAAAGGAAAAAGTCCAACCGTCTTGAATCACAGCCAACCTGATCCTGTACATAGAATTTCCAAAGAAATCTATAGAAAAACTACTAGAATAAATGAGTTTCACAGAGTCAATATACAAACAATAAACTGTATCTCTGTATACAGTCAAGTCAGAATTGAAACTAAAGTACTACGCACAACAGCACGAAAACACATGAAATACGTAAGTCTAAATCTAATAAAATATGTGCAGGATCTGCGTGCTGAAAATGACCAAACACCAATGAAAGACATCAAAGACCCCAATAAATGGAGATATGTACTCAGTTTACCTATTAGAAGACTCAATATTGGTAGGATATCAATTCTCTCCAAATTTATCTACAAATTAAGATAATTTCAATCAAAATCCCAGTAGAGTTTTTTGTAGATATTGACATGATGTTTCTAAATTCTATATGGAAAAGTAAAGGAACTATTGGGTTGTCGGAAAAGTCACGACGTATTTTTCTATGTTTTTTTGTTGCAAAAATGCATCATGACTTTTCCGACAACCCAATACAATAACCAAAGTATCTCTGAAAAAGAAAAGCAAAGTTGGAGAATTCACACTGATTTCAACACTTCAAGTTATCAAGACAGTGTTGAATTGGTGAAAGGACATACAGACCAATGGACAGAACAGAGTCCAGACACAGACCCACACATGTACGATCATCTCGCTCTTGACAAAGGTGCAAAGGTAATTCCAGTTAAATATGCACCTACCATACGGCCCAGCAAGCCCATCCTAGGTGGTTACCAATGCTCACATGGAAATCTGGACAGCCTCATAGCAGCCTATTGCTAATCACCCCAAACTGGGAAGGTACCCAACATCCCTCAAGTTAGGACAGCACACCCACGCAGTACTGTGGTGAGCACTACTCGGCCATCAACACAGGCACAAGCACAGATGATCCCACATGCATTACGGGCAGTTGGAGCCTTGTTCAAAGGCTGCCTATCCTGTGACTCCACTGATAGGACATCCTGGAACTGACTAATCTGTAGGGACAGTTAAGTGTCTACATGGGGATACAAGTGGGGGCAGTTTTGACTATAAAGAGATAGTTTGGGAGAATTGGAAGGGACAGACCATTTGAAAATGGTTTGTCTTGATTCTGCTATTGGTTACATGGCAAAACTCACAGAACTCTACAAAGAGCAAATTTAACTCTATGTAAATTAAAAAATAAATTTAAAAAAACTGGTCACTAATGCCTAAGTTCTAGTATATCTGTGCACCAACGAACCCATAGCTACCTAAAAAGCAATAAAATACCAAGAAATCACTCCAGGCCTTTAACAGGAAACGGTGACTGTTCTGGTCATCTGTTTTCCCTTTTTAATCAACACCAAAGGTGCTTTGTCCTGAGCCTCTGCTTCCTTCCCGAGGCAGCTCTTGTATTCTGTACCTGTGCCATCTCATACGTGGACCTTGTGCCACCGCAGCTCGCAGACAGAGCCTGCAGCAAGAGCTCCCGAAGCACCAG